GCTCTATGCAGTCAAAGGCTTTGCTATAGTCTATAAAGCACATGCATATTTCCTTTTGGAACTCCCTGCTACGCTCCATTAACCATCCTATATTTGCAATGTGATCCCTGGTGCCTCTTCCTTTCCTGAACCCTGTTTGGACTTCTGGAATTTCTCTCTCTATGTGTGGTTGGAGTCTATGTTGCAGTATTTTGAGCATACTTTTGCTTGCATGGGAGATTAGTGCTATGGTTCTATAGTTGCTGCAGATTCTTGTGTCTCCTTTTTTTGTGGATGGGGATGTATAGTGATTGCTTACAATCTGTTGGCCATCATTTTGTTTTCCATATCTGTTGATATATGTTGGTTAGCACTAGAGCTGACTCTGTCAATGTAGATTGCAACAGTTCCATTAGTATATCAACTGTAATAATAATAATAATAATAATAATAATAATAATAATAATAATAATAATAATTGTATTAAGATCATCTGGACAGGCCCTTCTTTCTGTTCCATCCTTCTCATGCTCGTTTGGTGGGGAAAGAGAGAAGGTTTTCTCAGTAACTACTCCTAGATTTTGGAATTTTCTCCCCAAATAGGTCATGATGGCCCCATCCTAAATCTCCTGGCAGCAAGTAAAAATATTTTTTCTGCCACTAGACCTTTACATTAGTTGAGGTTGGGTTCTTAATGCTCTGTGGTGCAGGATTTGAAGGTTTAAGAGTTGATACATAGTTTTATTTGTATTGTTTTAATTTTTTAGTATTTTAACTATTTTAATATGTAATGTTTAAAGCACTTTTATCTTTTAAAGTGCATTTCATTTTTAATGAGTAATGTATTTTAATCCTGTACCAGTTTAATTCTATTCATTAATTCATTGACTTGGATGAAAAAAAAGAGGGTATGCTTACCAAATTTGCAGATGGCACCAAATTAGGAGGAGTAGCTAATACCCCAGAGGATAGGATCAAAATTCAAAATGACCTTAATAGATTAGAAAGATGGGCCAAAACTAACAAAATTAATTTCAACAGTGATAAATGTAAAGCACTGCACTTAGACAGAAAAAATGAAATGCACAGATATAGGATGGGGGACACCTGGCTTAACAAGACCACATGTGAAAGGGATCTAGGAGTCCTGGAGCCTTTACAGACTGGCCCTTACTGTCAGGAAGTGCCTCCTAATGTTGAGATGGAGGCACTTCCTGACAATAAGGGTTGTTTGACAGTGAAACACACTACCTCAGAGTGTGGTGGAGTCTCCTTCTTTGGAGGTCTTTAACAGAGGCTGGATGGCCATCTGTCTGGTATGATTTGATTGAGAGTTCCTGCATGGCAGGGGGTTGGACTTGATGGCCCTTGTGGTCTTTTCCAACTCCATGATTCTATGAAATGGTCAAAGCATTTCATACAAGTAGTCTCCATTTATCCTCTAAATAAGAGGAACTTTAAAATGACCTGTAATTATGGGTAAACTTGGAATTCCTAAGAGGAAAGAAGAACTTTCCTCTTGAGATTCTCCACTTTTGCTGCCACTCAGCCAGAGCTTGGAAAAGTTACTTTTTAAATCATAGCTCCTAGAATCCCTCAGCCAGGATGGCCAGACTCAGAGGGGAAACACTGGGGAAATTATCATGAAGCAGCAAAGAAACACAATTATTGTCATTGAGCAGGCAACTTCTCTTAGGAAAGAGGAGCACTTTGATGGCATTTACACTTTCTTTGACTCATGTGAAGCAAAGCAGCCATAAACATGGATTTGCTAGAATAAGCAGTCTTGCCATTTGAAAACAATTTGTAATTGAGTGTCTCTTAGGCTGGCCAATTTTGAACCAATTCCTCCAGGATTTTGCCTGCTGAGCTACTGAAACCTTGCACTATATTTTTGTAGAGTAGTCAAAGGGTACAGGGGAGATATATCCTCTTGTGAAAGCGTGACTAAATCAGTGGTATACACTCTGTGAGCACCAAACACCCCTCAGTTAAGCTCTGTCACAACTGTGTGTGACACATCTCAGTCCCTTACCATTTAAAGTGTCAGAAAAGGCTAATCAGTGCTCTCAGAGGAAGCAATTCAATAGGCTGG